ATGTTATGGATGGAGTTACAAGTCCCATCCTGCATTAACCTGGCAATCTATGGTCGCGGCTTCAACCACGAGTAATTCTCCCGGCCATTTTTCGACAATACAGCAGTGCTCGCGCTGCGTCTGGCGGGATGTACCGGCCTGCTGGTTCGCCACAAAAACATCCAGGCAAAACGCATTGCGTGCAGGCCCATTTTGCCTGGATTTATTTTTTGCGAACTGGCCCGCTGGTACATCCCGCCAGATGCAGCATGAGCACTGCGGTGTCAATTCCCCTGTGCACGATCAGTTGGTGATTGGTCTCACACCCCATATACTTGTGCCCCACCCTAATGAAGCACCTATGCAGACTAGTAGACATAGTTGCTCAGTTGGTTGGCTAAGGATGTTGTACGTGTGAGGTCCAGGGTTCGATTCCGTCCAGCGTTCATACAACCATACAACCACATACAGGTTCAGGTTTTGATTCTGTTCAGCGTCCATACAACCATACACCCACATACAACTGGAGGGGACGGGCGACAGACTGGTAGAAGAACGGATGGTGGCCTAGTAACTACTGAGGATGTAGTCACGTGTCTTCCGATGCCCGGACACCCAGCGATGATCGAGGCTTGGAGACAGATGGGGGGCTGTCTACCTGCTGATGACAGAGGCATGGGTACCTCCAGGGTTCATACAACTGGTACAACTAGCCATTGGTACAACAACAGTACAGAAAAGACCTGCAATACACTTGGAACAACATGGTACAACTGATATATAGCTGCACTACGTGGGTTCCTCAGGAGGGTCCCACTGGTCATACCTTGGCTTGGAGGGGCCATTAGACACTGCCCGTGCTATCTAGAGTAGGCACGCTTAGCAACAGAAACCGGGGAGCCTGGAGCTGGTGTGGGGGACAACTGTGTGATCTACCTATGGGGCCTGTGGTATAACTGTATACACCCAGCGTCCGAAGAACCCGTACGATGTGGCTTGTTCGACTATGATTCCATCATGGGCTCAGCGGGGTTTCTCACCCCACTACTGCAAGCAGCTAGGGAGCGAGGTGGTTGGGTGCCGGTCCTTGTACTGAGGCAGGACTGGGGAGTAGGGGGTGCTCCATGGAGAATTGCCATGAGGAAAGGGACGGTGGTGGTCTCATACGGTGGACCAATAAAAAAAAACAAGAACGAAGAAAGAAAGAAAGAAAAATGGCTGGGAAAAGTACTGGAGCATGGTCCCATTAGCAGTCGGATAGGAGTGTGGCCGACCCAGTGTAACACTGAGTGGCAGCGGCCTGGCAGGTTCATTAGGTTGCTTCCCTCACATGAAGACGGAGGGCGTGAGTTTGGGCGACGAAGTTCATTGCGGTTTTAGTGACAGTGGGGCAACGCGATTGATGTAAAAGTGGAGGAGGAGGATTTTTGCTCGGACTGTTTATCACGAAAGAGGTAGTAGGTGGCGGTTTCATCTTTTTTTTTTTTTTTTTTTTTTTTTTTTTCGCCTTAAAGACACTGTAGATCATAGTAGGCAGGGTGGTACGAGCAGCCCTCCCTACTATGGTCTTCTCTTATACACATCTAGATGTGTATAAGAGACAGGCCTTACCGAGCGCTAAAGTGTGATGGGAGGAGCTACATTCTCATTGACCATAACCCTTGTTGTGGCATTCCTATGCAAAATATTAATCCATTTCATGAAATGTGGTCCAAAATTAAACTTTTCCAGACATTTGTCTAAAAAAAAAACAGTCCACATGATCATAAGCTTTCTCAAAGTCAATAAANTTATTTCAAATTTGGTAAGGAATTTGGATGTAATGCTCAGGCAAATCTTGTTTAATTTATTTTTTTTCATTTTTTTTTTTTTTTTTTTTTTTTTTTTTTTTTTTCGCCTTAAAGACACTGTAGATCATAGTAGGCAGGGTGGTACGAGCAGCCCTCCCTACTATGGTCTACCTGGGTCACTCCATCTATTGGTGGGGAGCTGCGCCTGCTGGAAAAGGGGTCCAGCGTCCCTTTTACAATAAGGAATCTTGCTGCGAAAATCCAAACATGAGCCCGCCCAGAACTGGGTGCCAGATGTGATCTTACAGATCTAGCTCTTTTTGGTACTCCTCCTGGTGGGACACTTTGAGAAAAGCCTAGTTGTAACTTTGCATGAATGATCTGAGATTTTTTAGCAGCTCAAAAGTGGAGCTCGTCAAGACTAAAACATGATATAGGGACAAAAGCATTCTGTGGGGGAGGGAAGGGATTTGGGAGGTCCTGCATTGAGCGAAGGGGGATCGAGGAGTCAACCTCAGTCCATTCATTGAATAAAAGTTTGTAGTTACTACTTATCTCCATATCCCCTTCTTCTCTCATCTCACCTTTCCATTCCACCCTCCCAATTTTTTCCCCTTTGTCCCCCCCTAGCCAGTCTCTGCTGAAAATTCTGATGGCTCTGAGGATTTCTTTTTCAGATGAGTTGTATTGGATAATAGGATCCTTTCCTTTACCATTTCCCATTGAAATAAAATATCAGTTTGCACTTCATCTTGAGTTGTTGACATCACGGGATTTTGAGATGTGGACATCACGAGAGGCTGTTGTTGCGTTTCGACTTTAGTGTTTAGTGACATTACATGGGGTTGCTGCCACGTCTCTGATTCAAGTTGGAGCTAGAGTCTGTGATTGGGACGTGTCGTTTGCGTATCACTGTCCATCCTTGGATTTGTCATGTTTTTTTTCCTTGAGATATCGTAATTGCGGTTCTTCGTTTAGATTCAAGTGATACGTCATTTGTGGCTGATTTTTCCTGAGTTGTGATCATCTTTCTGATATTCTTCCAGCGGTTGTTTTTTCTAATGATTTCGTTTTCATGATTGTGAATCGTTAAGAAGTAGAGTCTGATTCATGTGATCTTATGTGTTTTTTTGATGTAATCGATCGATCCGGAAAGTTTTTTATGAGCAAGATTCCTAATCTGAAATTCGTAAATCAGAGCTTCGCTCTGATCCCAAAGAACGATTACCAAGATTGAATTACAAAATGGTTTCTCAAAGTGGAATTGATGTCTTACGTTTATCAAACTCTGATCCAATTCTAAATTTGACGTATTACCCTATATTTGTACGCTCAAGCTTGGGCTCTTATTTCTTGAATTCAATATTTGATTTCATCTGTTTGAGGGATTTAAAAAAAAAAGGTCACAATTGAGTCTCAGGCTGTGATACTGCAGGGTTTGGGCTCATAGGTGCTGATTGAATTATCTCCTTCAGGGTTTTGAGCCCCTCCCTGCGAGGGTTATACAAGGTGGGAGGTGTGATCCTTAAGAAGGTAGGGGCAGTATTGTGGGTTTGTTCTCTTCTGGGCCAGGTTGATTTGGGTCGGATCAGCTACGGCGGTTGGGAGAGAGGACAAGGGGTGCTGACTTCAGCAAGGAGAGAGGTTGAGAGGTGTTTCACTTGGAGGGGGTGGTACATGAGGGAAGGGGGATCTTCGGCTCTGGGGGGGCATACTCTAGGGGGTATTGTATGCGGCTGAGGAAGCAGGAGTGATTTAGGGGGCTGTTTTGAACTGGGGCCGGGAGGTGTGGGAGCGCCTTCGAGCGGAGGCAGTGAAAGGACAAGAGGTCGTTTTTTGGCGGGGGGAGGAGTAAGTCGTTCGGTTTCTTGTGAGCCTTCTACATCCAGCAAAGACCTGAATAGGCGCAGGAATTTTTATGGGAAGAGAAGTAGTTCCCTCCCATCCTCTCTCCTTGTGGGAATAATAGGTGTTGACCGCCTTTATGGCTACCATTCCTGCGCGGCGTGTATCTTAGTCCCCTGATTTTTTTTATTTTTGAGGTTCCAACTGGAAATATCTTCATAATTTTGGTGTTAGTGGCAGTGGACTGTGTTTGCTGTGATGGTTGGAGATAATGCGTTCTGCAGCAAAGGGGCTAGCCAGTAGGGCGGAAATAGGGTACAACAACGGTGGAGATGGTGGCTCTACCGCGGTAAGTTTTGTCGGAGTAAGGTTGAGAAAGATTTTTGTTGGATGACTGCATGCAGTGCTTGAAAGAGTGTATGATCGAAACTACAACTATGGTGAAGATTGGTGGCTTGTCTGGTATCTGTTGATGTACTTGGTCCCAGTGGTTTGCGAATGGACGAGGTCAGAACGATGCCGGTCGGTGTTGGGGCTTGGTCGCGCTGCCCTGTAACCCGAGCGGTACGGGGGCATGAGACCTGGTAGAGAGATCTGGAGAGTTGTCGAAGGTGGAAGGCACTCTAGTATCTATTGGTGAGCTGGTACTTAGTCGACACTGGTCGAAGCCAGGGCGGGTCACTTTGCCCTGTAGCCTAGCAGGTGGGGGGTTTCTGGGGTGGGTCGTGCCACTCTGTAACCTAGCCGTTGGGGGTGGGAGGCCTGGTAGAGATTGGGTATCAGTGTATAGGGGAGAGGCGGATAGGGTTGAGTTGCTGAAAGGCGCTAAGGCAAGTGGTTTTCGGTCTGGATATTCCCATGATCAAACCTTAGAACCTAACTTTTTGTGTAGATTGCATAACTATCATTTTTCAGCCGAAGCCAGGTAATGGTCCGGTATCTCAAAGTGTTGTGCATTTTTTTCTCAATATGTTTTTGAATGGGACGTTGGGCCCGGTTCCCAACACGTGTTGCTCCCCACGAATAGATTGGAACATATCCTTTAAAAAAGAAAAAAACTTGTTTGTTTCTGGTTGCTCTTGGTGGTCTCAACTTTTAAGAATGTTTTAGGACTCTGGGGACTTCTAGCAACTCGTCTTAAGTGGCTTCGATGCTGTTATACTCAGTGATCTGCAGTTGTTCGAGGCCAGAACGACGCTGACCGGTGCTGGGAGGCCTGGTAGAGAGATCTGGGGATGCTTTGGGGTGAGCATTCCACGGGACAACCAAGGGTTGCTGCTGGGATGACACTGGTCGGAGTTGGGCAAGTTGTGTTGCCCTGTAACCCAACAGGATGTGGGGGTGTCAGGCCTGGAAGCGCTCGGCAGGGAGTAAGACAGTGTTGGAGAGCTTTGGAAATGTTTGTTAGGGATTTTGAGGGGTTCTTAGCATTTGTAGGACCTCTGTGGTGGCGTGTTGCCTGAGTAGTTCCTTAATTGGTCATTAGGAAAGTCCTAACCTATTCCTATGCTTCCCGAATTACCGCAACTTTCGCAAGTGTTCTCAGACGTTTCTCAGCCGAAGCCGGGTAATGGCCCCGGTATCTTAAAAGATTTGCACAATTTGATATGGGACACTAGGCCCGGTTCCCAGCACGTGTTGCTCCCCACGAATAGATTGAAACTTTTGTTTCCAAAAAGGAAAAGAAAAAAAAGAGAAAACAGGAGAAAGGCAAGAAAAAAAAGAAGAAACAGTTTTGCCCATGGGTTGGGTAACTCCATGACATCATTGACTATTCGTGGGTAAGACACTATTGATTTTTTGAGTTCTTAGTTGGTAGTGGGTAACTAGGATGAAACCATTGAATATTTTGTTTATGTGTTGGTTGGTGGTTNTGGGTAAGACACTATTGATTTTTTGAGTTCTTAGTTGGTAGTGGGTAACTAGGATGAAACCATTGAATATTTTGTTTATGTGTTGGTTGGTGGTTTGTTATCTAGCTTGGATTTCACTAGATTAGGGTTGTTTCATAATGGTGATTTGGAGAAAGGGGTAGATTAGGATTAGAGTCTTGTTAAATTAGGGAACGTGAATTTTGTTTTTTAGGGTTGGGATTGGGATCATAGGTTTTGTAACCTTGGTTGGTGGAAAATAGCGTTGTTTGATAATGGTGGTTTGGAAAGGGGGTAGATTAGGATTTGACTTTT